CAACGGCTAGAATCTATTGCTTTTCCTTGAATCTTGTGACCTTGTGATTTGTTTTGACCAACAGACTGCAGTGGAATTGTGATGCTCAGACTGTACTTTCCTTGAAAGGTGTACCTTCCATTTTCTCCCTCTTCAGAGCCAAGCAGCATGAACAAGATCTACCCATCTTGCTAGGAGGTCTGTTAAAGAAAAGTGCTAAATGGAGAGCTATAGATGAAAGGGTGGTGAGAGCCAGGAAGAGCTATGGAGGCACAGGGAAGGATATACATGGGGAGTGGGAGCATGCCAAAGACAGGCTGAGAAAGAACCAGGCGATGAGGTTCAAGGTTTGGCCATGATGATTTCAATTGGCTTTAGAGTTTGTTGACTTGACCTAAGTTGGATGTTTAGCAAGGATGGAGCAGCCGGTGTTGAGTGCTGTAGTGACTGACAGAGTGATAGCCAAAATTGCCTCAGGTAGTTGCTTCCCTTGAATCTGTTTAATAGGACCTGATGTCAGAGCTGGAGAGACGGCTCAGTGGTTAAGAACACTGACTGCTCTTGCAGAGGACCTGGGTTCGATTTCCAGCACCCACATGGTGGCTACGAACCATCCTTAACTCCAGTTCCAGGGGAATCCGAAGCCCACTTCTGACCTCCATGGCATTGCACAACACACGTGTACTCACATACATGCAGGCAATACACTCACACACATAAGATAAAAATAATAAAATATTTTAAAAAATAGGACTTGATGTCTAACTGGGAATTGGCTTTTGAGCACATACTGCCTTGCAAAAGCTGTGTTGTGATTACTGCCTTGGGCAACTGTTGTGGGTTCATGTGTGTTCTGCTTTTCCAGTACCTCAGAGTGTGGCCTTGTTTGGATATATGGTTGTTTGCAGATCTACTTGCCTAAAATGAAGTCATAGTAGAGCATGCTGGGCTCTAACCCAATATGGTTGATGTCTCTATGGAAAGGGACATTTTGGACATAGACATACACAGAGAACACCATGAAAAGGTGGATGCAGAGACTAGGTGATGTAGAAACCAAGAAATATGTGATTGCTAAGGCTAGAGCAAGGTACGAGCAGTTTCTCCCTCTGGGAGAAACCTTGGACTTCTAGACTGTGCAACGATGAGATCCCATACTTCTGTTTTAGGCCACCTTGTATGTGACTCTGCTATGGCAGTCTGAAAATTCCCTCAGGCACCCAGCCCCTTCCTCCCCTTTCACTTCATCTTGCAGACCTGAGTGGATCAGCATGGGGATAAACTTGTGGCTTTGGTGAAGAGGCTGTCAGAAGGCATCATTTCCTAATCCACTTAAAATTAAAATTCTCATTTTTTTCAGAAAGTTCTATGAAAAAACTTATTGGCTATTTCAGGTTAAAGAAGAGCAGGTAATATTTGATAGGAGAACCTCTTTGATACCTTGAAATGATACCAAATGGATTGTTTCATCTACCATCTTTGAGACCCTTCTATCAAGAATATGTCTGTACTTATTCCAGAGTTTACTAGGTGTTAACACTATTTTTCTCAAGAAACTTGATTTAACCTAACTGTATTAGGATTGACACCTGATTATTCTAGTTTAATCATTTGCATGATTTTTGGTGCCATAATTGTTGAGAGCTGGTATTAGAATATTAAAAGTAGCATATCATATCCAGATATGTTTAGTGTTTTATAATAACAATAATATTGGGTGCATTCTGCAGTAATAATGCAAATTACATTTGCAAAATAGTTTGTGGAAATGGAACATTCTGGGATGCAAGAAATAGAAAATGCACACTGGGAGAGAAAAGCATGTTTTATCCATGTGCTTCAGGTCAGAAGGTGGGGAAGTGCTTATGGACAGCTCACAATCCCCAGACTGAAAGCCAAAAATCACCTGTATGATTCTGATCAGAGCAGAGGATTTTCAGTCCTAGAATCAAAGAAGGTGGAGATGTTGTCATCTTTGAAGATACTGTTTGCTATTTAGAATAGACTTTCATTAAGTGAATAAAGATTGGCTTTCTAAAGCAAGCATCTATTTTTTTCCTTCCTTCCTTTCTTCCTTCCTTCCTTCCTTCCTTCCTTCCTTCCTTCCTTCCTTCCTTCCTTTCTTTCTTTTTTGTCTTTATGAGACAGGGTTTCCCTGAGGCCCCAGCTGACCTGGAACTCACTATGTAGACCAGGCTGGCCTTGAACTCACAGAGACTGCCTGCCTCTGCCTCCCAAGTGCTGGGACTAAAGGTTTGTGCCACCACACCTGGTTTATTTTCTATAATTTATCTCAATTTACTCTCTTCTAGTTGCTTATAACTTCTGATGGATAATTTATTTTAAATGATCTAGAAAATATATATGATATATTCCCTTATATCTTTCCAGTGTCATTTTTTAGGCCAATATTAAGCTAATTAAGTTTTCCCTATCTCCTCATTCACCTACACCTTGCTTTTTTGATGCTGGGTTTTGAAACCAGGGCCTCATGCTTGCTAAGTAATCATGCTACCCAGCTATATCCTCAACCTTACTCTGTCACTTTAATACCTTAATATGTTGATGGCATCCATCATATTCAAGCTCACCATGGTGAAAATAAGTCTCTAAGGAACTTAAGAAATTCTTGGCTATGTGAATCAATACAGCAAATGCTGATTTTTGAATTTTGGATGGATTCTGTACCAATTAGAACATTTTGTGAAATTTTGATTATATATTTCTTTTGCCAGCTTAATTAACCTTAATCCAGGAGGATTCCGTCTAAAACTGCCAAGATTAAACAAAACCATAGGAGTGCCAGTACAGCAGAGATGGGGGAAAAAGGAGTGAATTAATTCTCTGGGATCCAATTCATCAGAATTAGTTTAGCTTGGCCCATATTCCCATGGAAACTGTCTTTGCTCAGTTACTTTCATGAAAAAATATTTTTGATTTTTCACCTTTTCTCTTTAATTTTAGAGCCATTGACCCACAAGCTAGTTTATAGACTTCTACTTTTTTAAGGCCCCTTAATTCTCAGGGCTGTTTTCATCCCCCACTCCATCGTGGACCAGGAGTGGGAGACATTAGGCAAAGCTCATTTTCTTGTAGTGATTAGATGTGATACCTGTGCACCTTCTCCCTCATGCAACTCTGAAGTCTCCCAAGGAATGTTTCCAAAGCCCTTGGGGTGTGATATTTCAGTCATCTAGAAAACTTACCAGATATACGCTGACAGGACGAGGTGGGCAAGATTGAGCTTGGTGGTGTTTATCCATCTTCCCAAACCAGTACCAATGGTCTCACTTCTGCGGAACAGAATATTAGTGAGTCTAGCCAGCAGTTTTCTGAAGGGCTTGGGACTCCAGTCTTTGTTCCTTTGCAGTGGTTCCCTCTATCCCAACATTCATTGTTTCTGAATGCTGTCAGCTTTCCTTTGTGTGGTAAATCTATCCCTCTAGAAAAGTGCTCTGCAAACGTTCTGTTGACAGTACTTCATCCACTGACTCACATCCACTCTCCGGATAGTACTTTATTTTCTAAGGCCAAGCCTCTTTAAGGACACTGAGTTACTCTTTTTCCTCTTGTGGTTTACTGAGAGGGCAATGCCATCTAATGGTTAAGAACATAGGAGGGCTGAAGAGATAGCTCAGTTGGTAAAGTGACTGCCACACAGCATGAGGATCAGAGTTCAGATCCCCAGCACCCACATAAAAGCTGGGCATGGTAGCATCTGTAACCCCAGGACTAGAGGGTGAGGTGGAAACAGGAGGATTCCTGGCCAGCCAGCCTAAGTCAATTCATGAACTCCAGGTTCAGTGGAAGACCCTGCCTAAAAAATCTGTAAGACGGAGAGCCATAGAGGAAGACACCTGCCATTGATCTCTGGCCTCTACACATATGTGCACAAACATGCATATGAACCTGCACAGACACACATACACACACACACACACACACACACACACACACCTTTCATGAACACATGGATACACCACACATTACACACAGTCTATGACATAGAGATTGCTCATATATCACCACTATCTCTCCAACTGTGTGACTAGAATGTGTTACTCACTGAGCCTGGTTTCTTTAATGTTCATTGAAGACACTTCACAGAATCTCCCTTTCAGTGGTTGCTGAGCTGTAATTAAATGGATATTGCAAAGGGAAGCACTTAGCTTGGGGTCAGACACATATTGGTAACTTAGTATTTTTTGTTGGTGGCGATGGTGGTGCTAGAGATAGGAATGAGGTGCCTCGTGTGTATACAAGAGTTCTCTGCTGAAGAGCCATAGCCCGGCACTACTTTCATTTCTGTTATTCTGATGAATTTTGTGCAAAGCCAGCAGAAAGGAGCTGATTCTCATAACTTGGTTAATTTCAAAAATAGTTTTCTCCTATCCTATCTTCTTCCTTTATTCCAACCTTGCCTAGGATCTGCCTGCCTCTGCCTCCTCGGTGCTGGGATTAAAGGCATATACCACCATGCCTGGTGGTACATATATTCTTAAGAAATCATAATGATTTCAGTACTTAGAAGATCAAGACTACTGTTTGGCTTCAAGTCCTGATGAAGTAGGAGGATGAGTTTTGTGAGACAGCTTCTGCTCTGCCCTTCCCTCCGTGTGGCTCCCATTCTGTCAGGATTTGGCTGGTCTCCTTAGAGTGCATGCAGGTTGTGGAGAAAGGCTGTAGGCATGGAACTCCATGATGCTTGTACTCTGACTTCTCTTTCTTAGATATCTGCTGGCACTGGGCAGAAAGCAAGAGTCCATTATGATGTTTGCCTGGCATCTTACTTGTATATCATTAAAATTTGGTAGGGAGTGAGGATGGAAATTTATGTCATAAACGGTCACTTGAAAATGACTTCCATCTCTGCAATTTCAAAAATCCTGTTACCGTGGGAGGTATTTATGATATAATATGACATTATAAAGAGATCATATGTACAGTGGATTTCATATCCCTGATATGAAACTAGTATAGTTAACAGTGATTCAGTCTGATAATTTTTTTCCTTGTTACAGATTGATGTTCTTAAGGCAGATCTGGAAAGTGCAGAGTGGAAAGTTTTAGAAAATCTTATTCTGGAAGATGTCCTCGAACAGATTGGACAGCTCATCTTTGAGATCCATCTCCACTGGCCTGGCTTTGAGGTCAGCGGCAGTGACAGCAGCGTCGTGCGGTTTTGGTACAGCCTCCTCAAAGAGTTAGAGCGGAAGGACTTCAGGCTTTTTCACAGCTACAAAGATTTGTCTAAACCCCAGTTATTCCTGAAGAAGGATGTTTTCAATGCCAGTAGCTGTTATACTCTGAGTTGGGTAAATACAAGATGGAAATAAGATGACGAATCTCATCGACGACACAAAGCTCTTTTTGCAAAGGAAGCTCGTCCAGTGCCCACGGTTACCTGCTTGCGGCAGGGATTGTGTTATTGTCCCTGAAGTGCAGGTAGCCTTGCGCTTGACATACTGACAGCAACACAGATCCCTGTGGAAGGGATGGGCACGGTCAGCCCAGTTGCTCAGACTCAGGCCTTTGCCTTTCTGCCTTTGACAGAATGAGGATGCACACCCCCTTCACTTACGCTTGGGGGGTAGGTAACCCCCATACTCATCCCAGTTTACTTAAAATTCCTTATGTATCTATACTCCATGAATTCACAAACATTAAAATGAAATTTTATTAATTTTCTACTTTTACTAAGTTGATCAGATTTTAAAGTTCATTAAAATTGTTTCGTTTATTTGATTTTAAATCATCTTCTTCAAGTCTCCTTCACTTATCTGACCAGTGCTTTACAGCCTTGTGGATTGCAGTCACTCCTCCTCTGCCTTTCTAAGAACTATTGATTTTAGTTCCTGGGAACTTAGACACATCAAGTTCTGTGATAGAGCTTAAAGACTATCAAGAGCTTCAATTCAAAATTGTTTTCATACCCAGCTTTAAATACTCTTTATCGCCTATGAAGCTAAGGACAAAGCAGAACGTGAGTGTTTTTCCTGTTGCCTTTTCTGTTTTCAAACATGAATGACTTCTGTACCAGAGACTTACTCATGCTGTCAAATCTTTACACTGTCTCAGGGCTGGAGCGATGGCTCAGGCAATAAAGTTGCTGCTGCATAAGCATGAGCATCTGAATTCGGATTCCCTGCACTTATATAAAAGCACTGTACTCACAGTGCTGGGGGTGGGGGTAGGATAGAGACAGGCAGATCCTTGGAGCTCACTGGCCAGCTAACCTAGCTGAATCAGTGAGTCCCAAGTTCAATGAGAGACCTCATCTCAAAAAAATAAAATGTACAGTGATAGAGAATACCAGCACCAACCTCGCTCCCTCTATCCGGATCTCCCTCTCTCCCTCCCTTTCTTCCCCTCATTTTCTCTTTTTATCTCTCTTTTTGTTTTTGAGAGGGTTTTGCTGTCTAACCCAGGATGGCCCAGAACTCAGTAGGCAGCTCAGGCTGGTTTTGACCTCTGATCCTCCTGCCTCAGCCTCTGGTTCCGCTTATTTTTCACAAGACTTTTCTTATTTAATTAAGCAGAACATGTAGGTTCTCAGTGTTCAAATCATCTCTATCTTTCTGTTTTTGTTTATAGAAATAGACCCTCCTAAGGATGATTTTCAAAAGTCTATATTAATTAAATAATACAGAAGCAAACCAAATTAAGGAGTTTAGGGGCATTTTTACATATTAAGTATGATAACTGCATACTCCTTGTTCAAAAAATCAGAGGAGGCTGTAGGACACTGACTCCTGTCACATTCTAGCCCTTCTTGATTTCTTTCTCCTACCCGGATCGACCCTCTCATGTTCCTGATTTGGCATTTATTTCTTGGCTTCGACAATACCATCCCTCAAACAAGAAGCCAACATAAATTATAATGGGATGATCTCAGCAACTGGAGCTAAAAGGAGAACATAATTATGAATTACTTGTGATAATTTTTAAAAATCTGAGGGTTTAGCTTTAAAATTCATAGTACGTGAATAAGAATGTTGGGTTGAGAAGACCAACTGAAATAAACATCAGTGATGGTGGCCCAGTCCCTTCAGTGTACCTAGGTTTCTCAACTGTACAGAAGGGTCTGTGAATATTCTAAAGTGTTTTGCCCTGTTAGTTTGTATGGTGTCATCTCCAAAGTAAAGCTAACTTTAGTCCAACTTTGAACTTTGTCACAGATTTTATTTACAGCAATTTTATATACCAAAATGTATATATAGTAAATAGTTCTATATACACCGTGTGGAGTGTTCTAGTCCTAAGTGGCCAGTCTGATCAACTTTTAGATGTGTACACACCTAGATTTTTCAATGCGTGGAACTAAATATTTAAGGCATTGAGGATTTTAGACAAGTTCAAAGCATTGGCTTTGTCATACCATATGTAACTAAAGCAAGAATGGATGTACTGTTAAAAAAAAAAATCACAGTAGCCCCCCCCCCCCCCCCGCATTCCCACTTACCAGACAGCCTGTGTAATGATTATCACATTTGTGTTTATTTCTCTTCATGGATAGTTTGAAATTGACAATAGATATTCTGATGAATGCTTCTAGAATTGAGTATGCTTATTATGTAGGTCAAGGTTTCTTAGCCCCAGCACTGTTGTTATTTTCTACTAGATAAATCTTCATCAGGGGTGTGAGGGCTGTCCAGCGAACTGCAGAATCCTGGTCTCTACCCACTAGAGGGCAGGAGCAACAACCCCAAACGCCAGTTTGTAACAACCGGATGATCTGCAGACAGTGTCGGTTGCCCACCAGGGGGCAACCCCACCTGTGTGGAGAAGTAGTGATGTTGGCTGTGAGAAGTGGGCCAGGCTACTTGTGTTCATTTTCAGAGAATGGGCAACACAAGATCGCCTTGTGAGAACTAGACAAAATAAGAGCCACCAACACAATGCCGACAAACACATCGAACAGGCAAGCCAACGAAATCAAGCTCTGTTGTCAGGAAATCAGGAGTTTTAACTACCATGTTTGGGCACCAAAATGTTAGGAAATTACACTTCCTCATGGACTAAAATGGCTGATATGGATCCTATGAGGTTAGGGTGCTCTTCTTTCCTACCTGTGACTTTTTCAACTTCTAATCCTAACTTTTACCTGGGAGAGAGTCAAAACTCTTCATTTGCTAACAGTAATTTATTGAGAGTGTATAGATGTGCCTTGCATTAATCATTCTTATTTCTCTCAACAACCCAACAAGGAAGTGCAGTTTTCCAGGCATATGAGTAAAAGAAGTCTGAGAGTTTACATAGTCTGGACAGATTTCTCACCAAGTAGATGGAATGGGAATCTACAGTCTCCTGTCAGATCCTACAGAGGCCACCTCAGGCCTCAGCAGAGGACCACAAGCATAAGATGCTCCATTGCAAGGATACTCTTGGCCTCCCTATGAGTAAAAACGGGAGAGCCTGCAATACACTTAAAACAGCCCTGCAGATCAGTTACAGCTGGGATAAACATTCAAGTTTGCTTACCTTGAACTGTGTACTCAATTAAAATAAGTCTGTCAGGTAGAGGCTTAATGGAGAAACATGGGGACCCAGTAACGTCTCTACCAATGTAAGTTGGCTCTATCTGTGGCTAGAAAAGCTTCCATGAGTCTTGGGGAGGGACTCCTGTTCTTCCTTGTCCCAATACCTGATACCTTCCTTCTAGGCTTTGGAATGAACAGTCACTTGTAACTGCAGTTTAATTCTTCACTGATTAAAACTTGTCTTTGATGCAAATAAATGAGCTAAGATATGAATGTCTGCAACACACATCTCTTTTCTTAACTCTTACCAGAGTTGTGTTGCATAAATGATTCAGAAAATACAAATTTAATAACGTTCTTATCAAATTATTAAAAGTCTTGCACTTTTTTTTTTTTTGGTCTTTTTTGAGACAGGGTCTCCCTGTAGCCCCAGCTGTCCTGGAACTCACTATGTAGACCAGGCTGGCCTTGAACTCATAGAGATCCACCTGCCTCTGCCTCCCGAGTGCTGGGATTAAAGGCATGTGCCACCATGCCTGGCAAGACTTGCACTTTTTAAAGTGAAGGACATGAGGATATAAGAGAGTAAGAAGCTGCCTTTTAACACAAACTCTGTCACAATTTGAGATGAGCGTCAAAGAAAAACATTCTCCTTTCCCTAGCACATTGGATGCAGCTATAATAGGCTATCGTATAAAAATATTTGCAATATTTGACGTGTTCAGATTACAGCCAAGGAAAAGTGAACAAACTTACATGAGAATTGACTGATGTTCAGGTAATATTTACATCAGAGTAAAAGTAATTTCATGAATTTGCAGTGTGTCGTCCAAGTCTATTATTTACAAAAGCATTTCTGCTTGGCTATAAGATCTTTTAGTAAACACAGTTCAAGTTGTGAGATTCCTAAGCATTAAATGCTTGGATTTTTCAGAGCTGGATTAAACAGGAAGCCAGGCTGATCATATCTTGCCAGTTTAAACAGATGATTCTGCATGACAATACTACTGTACCTCCAAGCTCAATTAGTGTAATTGTCCTATTTTTTTTTTGTGATATATTTATGTTGGCTTTTTAGGCAATTCTTTTTATCCTAGCTGATTGTTGGCACCTTCTTGTGTTAAAATAACTTCCATGCACTTACATTGTGAGAGGTACCTGAACTTTGTAAAGCCCAAAGATTCAATAAATTTTTAAAACTGCCTAAGTCTTTGGCTGAGCCTGATTGCTAAACATAGTCACAATTGGGCTCGCTGATAGTTGTGCTCATTCACTTAAAGGAGTGCCGAGCAGGGTCACTGGACCCTAACCTGAGTATCCAGCCACTCTTCCCAGCCAACTAGTCCAGCCTTGGAAGACAAAAGAAAATTGAGGAAGAACCCAATGGAGGGATGCTTTTGCAAGCCCTTGTCAAGAAACTCCAATGGACTCTCATATGAACATTTGAAAATTGCCTTGTTTTTTTTTCTAGTTCCCTGTCTAGAACTTGTAATGCTAATTACTCTTGCCTCTACTTCTCCTTCACATCTCCTATTCATGATTCAAGGACTTTCTCCTTCCCTGAGAGACAAGAGTTATGCAACTC